CTGTCCCCTGGTGAACTCTACGGTCGTTTGAGTGAATAAACTTTCGGCGCTTAAGGCATTGAATCCGTTCATTATCTTAAATATTTCCATAAGGTTACCCCTAAGGCGTCTCCGTTCCATAGAAAAGAGATCCAACGCTACAAGCCTTTTTTTATATGACTTGCCCCTCACGCCCGGGACCATCCGATTGGCTAACCTTTAATCTTCTCGATGCACTGGATGAATTTCTGAAGGTAGGGTGCCCAGGCCTGGACACAGTATTTAAGGTGGGGTCTCATTAGTGCCTTATACCGCGAAATAAAGACTTCTACCTTTCGAGTGTATTTCTTAATTGGAATAGTTGACCTCTCGCCCTTTGTGCTGCGGTTCCGCACTATTCGTCAGGCTTGCAATTTTCGGAAACTACTATCCATAAGTCCTTCGTTTGGGCTACGCGCGTTAGTTCGGTGGTTTCCGCCTCCGTGCTCATTCTAATTTGACCGCCGTCAGTGTTCAATGTGACATTTTCACGGGTTTGCGTCTAGGTCCCACATCTGAGTCCAACATACAAACTTTGTTAGGTCTTCCTGTAGTTGGTTACGCGGGCCTGAGTTAACTAACTTTACATCGTCAGGAAATAAGAAAATCGGGATGGATAAACCCCTAACTAAGTCATCGGCGTACAGCAAGAAAAGTATCGGGCCTAAGACGGAGCCCTGTGGCACCCCATGGGTGGCTTTACCCTCCGTCGATAGTGCCCCTCCCACCTGAACCCTCAAGGCCCGCCTGTTCAGAAACGCCCCTATTCATTTAATAAGAGACCCAGGAAAGTCAAAGTTCTCGAGCTTTTTAAGAAGTTATCGGTGTTTAACCGAGTCAAAAGCCTTTCTAAAGTTTAAGTAACAACCTTCGACTTTTGGCCTTCATCCAAATTCCTTGTGACTTCATGTAGGAAGCACAACAGGTTGCAAGGACATAATCTCTGTTTGAGGAACCCATGTTGGGTCGGGGTTAGAGGGTCTTAGCGTGCAACATGCTCACCTCTACCGTTTCTGTTTATTGTCTCAGGTCCTCCACAGAGGATACTAGTGAGACTAACTGGTCTATAGTTCTCTGGCGCCTTTATCATCTCCCTAGTGTATTGCCACAACTTTCTCCGTCCTCCAGTCCCTCGGTATCTCACCGAGTCTTAGGGATTTCTCGTACATTGCACACACGGGAGCCTCCAAAATCTGTGCGAGCGGTTTATCGATGCCCGGATGAAGTCCATCACTCCGCGCTGATTTGCCGGATTTTAACTAAGTGAGTATCTTCAGAACTTGAGCTGTGTCTACCTGTAAATCGCTCATTGGAGGAGCTCGTACCTGTGGCAAATGTGACGGGTAGCTGCGCTCATCATCCATTTTATAGACGCTTTCAAAAAAAGTTTTGAGTATCTTGCGCTTCTCTAACTCCGACGACACTACTTCAGCTGCGCGGTTTCGTAGAACCCAAACCGATTGCCTAATGGCAGCTTTCGATTGTACGTACGCGTAAAACCTTTTAGGATTGATTTCAGTTTGCTGAGCGATCCTCAATTCGTGTTTCATTTTGGTTTGATTTATAAGCTTGTTTTCGTAATTTCGGGCCATTTTATAGGCCAACCACATGTATTGCCCTCCGCAGTTTCTATAGACCCTCCATTTACGTCCCCTGAAAGTTATCGCTCTTTTTATGGGAGTTGTTCACCATGCAGGGCCTTGAGAATTCCTCTTCGGTTGCAATGGCGCGTACCTGTCAGTGAGCTCTACTAGGTGTTCCCAATGTTCATTCCTCCTCGTCAGAGGCTTCCTGGTTAGGTGACCACCAACTGGTTGAATCAGCCTCTTGGAGTAGACCTGACATATTCATTTGACCGAAGTTCCTGATGAATTTGGAGTGGGTCTTTTCCTTATTTATTCACCTCTTAAACGCGGTTACACCATGATTGCTCTTGCCCAGCGGGACTTTCAAATTCATATCACTAACGTCGTTCTCCGCTCAGGTAAGTGTATTTCAAAACCAAATCCATGATGATTCATGGTGACGTAACTGTATCTGTGTGTTGCTTCTCTAATGAAATTTCTCGATCAGAAACACCATACATTATTCTTTATCTGATAATTCGGTGCCCGGCACATTTGAATTTTGCGCGGTCAGAGAACGTGAGCGACTATTTGGTTCTCTCTGGACATCATATTTGGCTCACTTGCTTGAGTGCTTTTGGTCGCATATTTGAGGTTCGCTTTATCGTACATTTTGTAATGATTTTGCTCATTCAGTACCGTAGAACATTACGGATCAATCGTGTTTTATTTTGGGGTTCGTATTGGTTTGGGCTACGCGTCACTCAAGTGCGAATTGGTTGACGAACAGTACTCAAATCGAAATGAAACGATAAAACTATTTCGAAGATGCCCAGACGAGGAACCAAGGAAACTAGAACCCAACAGGACGTAACCCAGCAAGTCACTGGAGGGGCTGTGGATCATTTGGATTCTTTAAAAAATGTGAGGTCTGTTAGTCCTGTCAGGATTGCTTCTTGTGTGGATTTAGATATGAAGGATATTGATATAATTAGCTTGCGAGTTTCTTAATTAGGGCATGAGTTGAGATTAGATAGGCAGCAGATAGAACAGGCCAAACGTTGAAAAACCGATTACAACCGAACAACATCACCTCGAGCTGAGACTTTACACAATTGCTTCTCTCCGAATGAACAACCCATCCCGAAGCAAAGAACGTATGCCCATGTAAACGTCGATTTGCCAAGAGTCAAACTGACTCCTTCCGATNCGATGGTAATCCCGGACAATATTGCCAATTCATTCGCCAATACGAAAATTTCGTTGAATGTAAAACCAACAATGCAAGGCAAAGGTTTCTGCTTTTTCTACACTACTGTTGGTGGAAGGCTGAGGAGGCCATACAGGAGTGAGCAATGCTGGACTCAGAAGTGGGCTACCCGAGAGCCAGCAATATACTGGAAGAGATAATCGTTCAACCATTCCGATTGGCACGAAACATGATTGAGGGGGTGCTAGCAGAGGCGAGACGCACACGAGGCAATACTAGGTCTCTATCAAACTTTTTCGTCGAGATGCAGAACTGCAGCATCGATCTAAACAACCTCCAATGTCGGTCGGACTTGGATGCACTTCACACGCTTGAATCGATTGTCAGATGTTTGCTGGCCGAAATGCAGATAGCCTGGGCGACCGAGGCCGATCGAATCGAGAAAAGGAACAGAGAAGCGACATGTGACGAACTCGCACAGTTCATAGGTTGCCAATCTCGCATAGCAAATAGTCGATTCGGTCAACTGGCGAGGGAAAGCATCAGGACCACTGGGCCTTCAACCAACTTTACGCCGTCTGGA